TTATAACAAAAAATGTTAATCATCTACTCTCTACACTCTCCTTGCCCCCCCCCCCCCCCTTGCTCTCTTATATTATTTTTTGATCTTTTACATCATTTTTTAAAAAAAATTCAACTTATGACCAAAAAAAAAGAGGAAAATATCTTTATTAAAAAAAAAGAGTAAAAACGACGACATGATTTTAAAAAATCATAATAACGATAAAATTCATACAAAAATATAGAAGATTTAATAACTATATACGTATAGTGCATTTTTCTTTTATATGTGTTTCCAAAATTCAAAATGAATGAATGAAAATAACTTTTTCTCCTACCCCCACATACCAAAACACCATGAAAATAATATAATTAGAAGAAAATGAACATGTAAGTTCATTTAAGAAAGTAAAAATAAAAAGAGAGAATGAGCAAGACGGATAATTATTGAATGGAAAACTTATCTGAAAAATAATGATTTTTTAAGATTTGTATGAAAATTTGAGTTAAATCTCAATTATGAGTTCACTCGCTTATAATAAATTGGGGTTCATATGAAATAAGGCAATACTAACATATCATGAAATTATCTTTTGAATATTATTTTAAGCATGTCAGGTCAAAACACGAATCACATGTAATTTTTATTATTTCTTTAATAAGTGTTTAACATTAATTCAATTAGATTAGGTAATATAATAAATAAATATTTAATTATCTTATTTTAGGGGAACTTCGTTAAAAATAAGCACATATATGAACTAAATGGTTAATATTAAAGGTATGTTTGAACCAAAAATTTAGGTGATTAGTATTTGGGAGCCGAAAGTAATATTTTTGTATGACATTAGACAGTTGAGGGACATTTCAGGGCCTTGTCCACATTTATTATTATTCGGTATTGGTTCAGACTAACGTCTCCTCCCTCATTCTCTCCGTATTTGACTTGTCAATTTAAATTTGCAATAGATTCTATCCCCTGCAACAAAACAACTTTGACATATACAATTTTATGGGTGGGTTTGTTCTTCTTCTGCCCATTATACAAATTTATGAGAAGTGTTGGAGAATACTATTGGGCTAGAAAAGAAAATTCAAAACTCCTGCAATGATTTTCAATAAGAAAGATTTGTTTATCTCAAAGATGGGCGAAGCAGAAACGAGACAACTCATTTTCAGGATTAAATGACCCCCCCCCCCCCACACACACACACACACACGCACAAAAAAAAATAAAAAAAATAGTGGTCGTTTTGTTCTTTTAAAAGTTCACAGTAGAAACTTACTATATGCAATAGTGCAAGACACCAATTGATGATAACTATAAATATTCTAAAATCTAATTTTTGTAGATATCATATGTAATTTTATAAAAAGTGCATGTATGAATGTCATTGTTCTTATAGGTGGAACACGTTACAAAGACGTAAAATATACCGTGAAAGGTTAGTTCTCAATCGTTATGGTAAAATATTGTTATAACGATGGTTGTGATAATGAACCTTCATGTAGTAGGTTATCAACTTCATGTAGCACCTAAAATGTTATACCTTCACTGAACTCTTACGGTGCTGCTATCTTGTTTCAACTTGACGAGACTATTCTCAATGTTCCATAAAAGAGGTTTATAGCTGGAAAATATTAAAATGGTAGTGTTACTAGTTAATAACAAAAAGGATATGGGCAAATTGCCTATGAATATGTCAACAGGTCTAAAGATACATACATGCGAGTGAGACCATTGTATGCTTGTGTGGCCTGCTGGACTCGTGCATTAAGCAACAAGATTTCAGCAGACAAGGCTTCTGTTTTGCTCTGCTCTTTAGCTAGTGAACCCTATATCAACAACCAATTTAGAGGACATAACTACCATTATTTTGTACTGCAACAATATCATAATGACAAAGAATTCAATCTATCTGGAATGATCAGTCCCAGCACTTTTGAGTACTACAACTTTCTTCCCCTAAGTTCATTATGTGTTGTGACTTGTGGGGATGGCTGACATGGTTCACAAGGAACTTGGGTGTGTTTTGTTGAACAATAATAATATATCTAGTGAAATCCTACAAGTGAGGTTTGCAGAGCATGAAATGTACGCAAACCTTACCACTATCATGTTCGTAGACTGCTTTTGAAAAATCTTCGGCTCAAGTTAGCAAGTAACAAGGCAAAGTCTATCGGAAAGGAACAATAAAATAATGTGATATCAAATCACAGTAAACAACATACAAGAAAAGATTATTAAAAACGATAATAAACAATGATAAAAATAAAAGGCAAGAACTATAATAATACAACTAGTACCATGACAAAAGTCACCCTTAGCAAGATAACACTACACTACCTACTAACCTTCTATCCTATTATGGGTCATCCACACCCTCCTATCAAAGGTCATATTTTCAGTATCCTAAAGTTGTGTCATATTCTACCTTATCACTTCTTCCTAATACTTATTTAGTCCACCTTTGTGTCTCCTCATACATACTAGTTAGCTGTTTTAGGACTACAATATATATTTTTAAGTTTCATATATTTTAATTGACTTATTTTAGGAGGTAGGTACCATGGCTATCACCATGACTAAAAAATAAAACTGATCCATTTCAGTTTATTTCTAGTAATGTTTATGTATCTTTTTTTCTGTAGAATTAATATTACTCTATAAGTTTTCTCTAAGTCATCTTCATCATTTATAGTTCCTTAGATTCTCCTGCTTTCTTTTTTTTTAAGCAAACTAGACAATGTTTTCATTGTCTTATCTGCAATTTTTTCTTATTAAAAACTAACAATTGTATGTGATTGAGTTGGAGAAGACATGGATGCTGGGAGCAAGTCCCACCAATTGCTCTGTCGGTCTTTGATGGAGATTAAGATAATTAACGAATGGGGACATTCATGGATGCTTTGGATCTCTGAGAAGTTGTGGAAGAAGATTGCGATATTCCAACCCTACTGTATAATCCCATCATTGCTTAGATTAAAGCACATGGAAAAGAAGACAAAGAAATCAAAGGCCCAGGCATGTTTATTTGTTGTTCTATCATCAACAGTTTCCACATGAATAATGTCTCTGAAAACTGCTACAGAAATATAAAACTATCTCATGGAAGAGTATGTCGGAGAGGAGACAATAAAAGGTGTGCAAATGTTGAACTTAATGGGGGAGTTTGAATTGCAAAAAATGAAGTATGGTGCATCTTTTATTTGTCCAACAATATCAATAGTTTATGCATTATTTAGTTAGTTTATGTTGCTTAGTGCATCGGATTAGCTGACAATATAAGATGAAAGTTAAACATAATTGGGCTACTAGTATAAGAATTATAAAAATCCAATATGGCACAAAGAAAATTCATTTCTTTTTTTGATGAATTGTTGTCTTTAATTCATTTGAATCAATTGTTTCTTATATTTTTATATATGGTTAACAACAGAACAACCCAATCAAAACCGATAACAACCAAACCGACAAATAAATATTCTATATGGTTTGGTTTTTAATAATTTAAAGACAAATTAAGTTGTTGTGATTGTTGATTTGACCAATAACCAAATCAAATCAGCTATAAATATTGAAACACTTGTATGACTTATAATTGTTTCTTATGCTTTAATCATGCATGTAATTAAAAAGGGAACTAGAACCACCTACTGGGGTTGTGGAGTAGGAGCCATGACGGTTTAGGGGTTTTGGGTCGTGACACTGTCCATACGTATCTTGAAAAAGAATGTGTCATGACCGTCTGTTGCAGCATACATGCATGACTGTAAAAAGAGTAGCTCTTTTATTACAATTCAAATGCATCTGCCTGTCTGCTATTCGCCTAAATGACTTAGCAAGGCACAGTGTTTTCACAGGATGCCAGTGAACCAGATTCAAGTTCAAATGCTCTTTTGTCCCATTTGACTTGGATCCGTACTTATGGTCTAAACTAATCCGTAGACTTGTGTGGAAATAAATCATTTCAATAAAGTAAATGGGAAATTTTAACGTTAAATTGTTTTTAATTATAGTAAGCTGATATTCTTTTTCGGACGACTTACAAAGAAAAGGGTGTCACATAAAATGGGACGAAAGGAGTATCAAATAGCAACATCATAATAAGGATTTTGGAAAATGTTTTCAAATAAATTCATTTTCCTCAAAATTAAGAAAAATATTTTCCAAAACTCTCATCCAACTTCAAATTACATTTTTTCTTTTTAAATCAATTTTTTAAAAATATTTTCAGTTTCAATTTTTTATTTTTTCACCCCCTCCAAAAAAAAATTATGTTTGTTTTTTAAAAATATTTTCAATTTCAAACTTTTATATTTTCACCCCACCCTCCGACCCCGATCATCCCCACACCCCTCTAAAATAAAAAAAATAAAAAAATATTTTCAATTTCAATTTCAATTTTTTTATATTTTACCTCATCCACCCTACCTCCCCCTCGCCCCAGCCAGCCCCCCACCCCCACCCCTCCAAGAAAAAAATTTGATTTTGTTTTCAAAAAATATGTTCAACTTCAAAATGTCATTTTTTTTGCACCCCTACCCTCGACCACACACCCCCCACCTCTCCCCAAAAAATTAAAATTTCATTTTTTTCACCCGGTACCCTCGACCCCCCCCCCCCAAAAAAAAAAAATTAAGTTTGTTTTTTTTAAAAAAAAAATCGACTTTAAAATTTCATTTTTCATCCCTACACTCGATCTCCCCACCCACCCCAGCCCCCAAAAAAAATTAATTTAGTTCTAAAAAATATTTTCAACTTGCAATTTTTATTTTTCACCCCACCCACAAAAAAAAATTAAAAATATTTTTCAATTTCAAAAATTAATTTCTACTCTATAAAAATAAAAAATATTTCTCAAAAACATTTTTCATTAATAAATCAAACACTAAAAACCATTTCAGAAAAACATTTTTTACTAAACAACCAAACATGAGAAAATACTTCCAAAATCTACTTATTTTCCAAGAAAACATATGCCTTCATACCAAACAAAACCTAAGAGTTTGATGAAAAACCTTGATGGATATGATGTCAGCATATTCTATGCCTTGAATTTCATTTTTGCTGCCTTTGACACCTTGCTGGATCAGGTTGTTGTTTGCAGTTGATATTGCAGTTTGGTCATTCCTTAACTTATCTAACATAACACGAAGCTCCTCATTTTGCTTGAGACAATCTTTTACCTGCATGGAAGTACTTCAAAAATAATGTCTCTGACCAGAAGAGAAACACTCGGGACATTAGAGTACATTACCGAGGGTGTAATTACAATATAATATGAAGAGAACTATCCCGTATGCCAAAGAAGGAAATATACTCAACCAACTGATTACATCTAAAAGTATAAGTTGGATAAATGAGACCGCTGTTGCATATTGGAATTTTTCTAAAGCACATCTTATGCTTAAGAGTACAGAAAAAATCACGCGTAGCCAAACTGAGTAAACTATTGAAATCTTCAAGAATTTGCAGGTAGCAGAAGCCAGCCAACCCAAAAACTTCCTCAAGAAGAAGATGCTTTATTGTTCTGATTTCTGAATCAAAGAAAGGTTAAGACATCTTTTTTGTTCTCGCTGGTACTATTAGCACTTCATGATTTGATTTCAATACCGACATGATATCGGACATATTCACCAAGACTATTTGGTTTTGACGGTTAAGAAATTGCAGGAATTATTGCCAAATTCTTCCCATGTAACTCTTTTGCAATCACCAATACTTTTCAGTGCTAAGCTTATGAGAGAAACGAAACTCATAAGTTATAAACCTTCCTCCAATCTGTCAACTATTTATTACAATTAAAGATTACATCAAGGAAAAGTAAACAGACTTGTCAATAATTATATACAGAGCATGATTTACTACTGTTGAAACAGGACATGAAAGATACTACATCTAAGAATATTTCAAAGATAAACCTCAAAAACAATGTGAATAGGCATCATACTATCTTCTCATCCTAATTTAACTTCAAGCACTTGAAATTACCTGATTCTCCCACTGCACCGCCACCCCTAAAGCTTCTTGATGAGCGGAAGAAAGATCAGAATTTTCCTCAAATAGTCTCTCTATCTCCGAGGATTGTGAATCGACCTGAAATAAGAACATAACAGAATAATTTCAAATTTCACATTGCAAAATGAAAAAAAAATAGAGGATGGAGGATATACCTCCATAAGAAGTTTCTGCCGGCTACTTTCCAATCTTTCAATAGCCACTGCCATATCATGTAATTGCTTTTCAAGCCTCACCTTGTCTCCCTTAAAGGGTTGAAATAAGACCTTAAACTCATAGAACATGTTCTACCAAAAGTTTATAATACATTTAACCACATGAGTGTTACCAAAGAACGACCGAAAACATTTTTTGAAGGGGCCAAAAATATGAAGGGAATTAGCAAACGAAAAAATTGAGTCAACAGGGCAATTACACTGCAAGGGGATTTAGCAGCATGATATAAAGAGTAACAATTTTAATAATTTCAAAAAAATAAAAAATTATCAAAAATAATGTATGGTCATTGGACGATCATTTTCCTTTCCACAGAAAACATTAGCCAACTCAAATTTAACATGCTAAATTTTATTTATCAACTGCAGACGCATTAATTACCTCTGAGAATGTCTTCTGGGATGCCTTTCCGGTGACTTCACCTGTAATAAATAGCACAATAATACAGAAAAGATCAACAGAGAAATTCGTGTAATGCATATGATTTATAGTTTACTATGTTAGGTGATTCTTGTTTCTTTTTCACTTCCTAAATTTTGTTGTGCAGTAATATTTTCAGATTGCAGTTTCCAAAAAAAAAATTGCAGATTGTTTGCACTCCCCTTCGCTTGCTTCAATATGACCTACATTACTTTCTATTATTATTGATTGACATGAGTCAATTGGATAATGACCTTCATCAATCCACATAGGCTCTTCTTATATTATGGAGTGGACACCCTCAATGTTGAGCTTATAACTACTATTTTACCTTTACCTCCGAAGTCTTTTTTTCCCTCAACAATTTCAAAGTTATGAAAATTATGCTTCATGGGTCTCTTCTCTCTCCCCGTAACTTTCTGCCTCTTCTCTTTCCACGTATCCGTCTCTCCTTTGCCACATACGCCAGGATCACCAACCCATCTCTCCTACCCACTGCGTCGCCAATCCATCCCTCCTAGCCAACTACCACCATTGACACTGACGTCCCAGATTTGGTACGTTCCAGGTTTTTTGTCTCCTCTTTTCTGCGACGGACGGAATTCTAGTTTCTGGCCCACTATTAGAGTCAGAGAGACCCAGTGACCTCAACTTTGTCATCTATCTCTTCACCGAACTGCCACCAATTCTGTGTTCTACAAGATCAGACCAAAGAAGTGATGCTATTTTTCAGTGACCTCCATACCTAGCAGCTAGCAATTTCAGCTACTTCGCAAAGCCATAAAAGCAGGTTCTTTGTACTTCAAGACTTGTCGCACCACAGGTTTCTTTGAATTTTGATCTGTATCTAAATTTTCATTCAGCTAAGTTATATTCTTGTTGGTCTTTGCAGTTTCTTGTTCTCTTTACTTTTGTTTTTACTCTGCCTCAGATGCTATTTTTCAAAGTTAATTAATGGGAGATTGTGTAATTCTATGCATTGTCCCCCCCCCCCTTATCTGCTTTTATCCCTTGCTTTCTTGATTTTTTTTGCGTCAAGATGCTGTTTGTTTGTAGCTCTTGTCCAGTCTTCCGCATTTTTGTTATCTGCACTGGTGGCTTCAGAGTTTGATGGTAGTCTAGCAGGAGCGGGGGTCAGGGGTGGCAAGGGTACCAAGGGAGATTCTAGGTTGCAGATTAGGTCTTGGGACATAGGGAGCTTGAGGGGGAAATCAATAGAGTAAATGAAAATTCTCAAGAAGAGGTAGATCAATGTAGCTTGTGTCCAGGAAACCAAATGGGTGGAAACCAAGACAAATGTAGCCGAGTTTAAGTTGTGGTACTCAGGAAGCTCGAGGAGTAGGAATGGAGTAGGCATTTTAGTTAATAGGGAACTCAGGGAGCAAGTGGTAGAGATTAGGAGGGTGAATGAAAGAATGACGAACGTTAAGCTAGTTGTTGGGAGGGCTGACTTTTAACATAATTAGTGCACACGGTGCACAAGCAGGTTTGTACGAGGTTGTGAGAGACATCCAGCGCCCCGAGAAGCGCTATTTTAGGAGGAGACTTTAATGGTCAGATAGGGACCACATTAAGGGCTATGATGATGCACGTGATGGTTTCAACTTTGGGGATAAAAATGAAGATATCCACTTTTAGATTTCACTACTGCTTTCGATCTCGAGCTTCCATAAGAGAGAGAAGCACTTGGTGATCTAATGTAGCGCCACGGCTAAGACCGGGATAGATTACCTACTCCTTAGAAAGGGCGATAGAAATTTATGCAAAGGACTTCAAGGTTATTTCGAGGTGATGATCTCCGTGGCGACGCGTAGGAGGTAGATTCAAAGTGGCGCCAGTTGTAGTTTGGTAACAAGGAGACAATGTACCTTTGGGTAGCGTTGATTTTCAGACAACGTTGAAAGTGAAACTATGTAAGTCATATCTGAGGAGTCACGAAAAAGATGCACGAAATTACGCAAATAAGGTCTGAGGAGTCACGGGATAGACGCGCGATGCTACATAACTTAGATAAGAGAAAGTAGTCTAAAACTATGCATGATGCTACACAAATCATATATGAAAAAGTAGTCACTGAAAAGATGATTTATGAGAAAGTAGTCACCAAATAAATGCACGGTGCTGCACAAATCGGATATATGAGAAAGTGGTTATTGGAGAAATTCACAGCACTACACAATTCAAATCTAAGAAGCCTTTGGAAAGAAGCATGGTGACAACTTTCTTTGTCGAGGCTTTTCTAATCAGTGCTTCTTAGCATGATTATTTTTCATGGATATAGTATTGTCCCAAGTTTTGATAACATAAACATTGGCTAGACAGGGAGCTATATGAGGTACAACAACCGCACCAGTTGCGGAAGCTTTTTTTAATTATTTTCTACCAAGATAGTAGATACTCTAATATAATGTGAGAAATATTATAGAAGAATATTATTGAATTGCATATCTACATTATTATTTTGAGACTATATTTATAGACACTACATTAGACTCCTTGTCGAACTAAGACACTACATTACAATCATTTTCCAAGTAGGATTCTATATACTATTCTTGTTCCTACTCCTATTCTAAATGAAATAAACCAAAATAATTCTCCTCATATTATCAGGGATATCAGTGAGCTCTTTGATGCCTTGTAACCTCATTCTAGTTATGATATTCTTTTGATGCTCCATTCAAATAAGTTCCTACTGTGTTTAAATTTTATTTATTTGTCTGTGACAATCAGCAACAGTCATAGTTACCTCGTGATTTCATATCACCCTATCAAATATATGGTTAAAATAAGATTCAATGGGATCTCCCAAGTCTAGGAGACCTTTGTTTGAGAGAAGTCTACCAAGATTTACAACTTGTCTTGGACCTTGAAAACCGCAATCAAACATGGAGGCCTTGAAAGCAATGTTGAAGCTGCAGGATCTGTGCAAGAAGCAGAGCATAGCTATCGCGAAAAATATCCCGTGATCGGGTAGCCCGCAGTGAAGGACACAATCACTAACAAGTCATCGCGATCATAGAGGAAGTTATGCCCCAGCCATGTGCGAGAGCGGATCCATGACCATGAATGCGCCGCCTCCAGGCCTAGTCCAAGATATCGTAGACCACTTGTCGCAACTAGGGGGAGTACTTAATCACCCTAGTTCCAGCTTTGTTAATTATAGAGTAGATGTTGTTTATTGCTTGTTTAAGGTACTTAATCTCTATGAAATGTTCTAGATTCTGCAAATGTTTGCAAACTTAAAATGGAGTTCATTTTTTTTATGACTGAGAAATTTGTCTGGAACCAACCTTTAGGGCCAAGTGCATTCTTCGAAAACTTAGAAGGATAGGCTGTGCAAACGCAAATTTGTAACCTAGGACAAAATTACCTCAATCTTTGCATTGAGCACAATCCTAACATCTCTAACAGAACGGGAAAAAAGTTCCAACCATGTATTGACAATTGACAACCCAGCAATCTTATCCAACACAGTTTGGTCTTAGCTTTCAGTTTTCACCATTTAACATAGCCACGGGTGACGAGTAGTATGTAGCTTCAAATCCTGCCACATTCAATCACCCATATTTAATGCTTTCCACCTCCATTCCGTATGAACTAAACAATGAAATATACACTATTTGTTATCTTTCACCTTTACTCCAACCGATCCTCTTCATGTTGCACTTCCATGCTCAATTTAACATCTAGTTGGAATTTCTGATCTTAGGTTTTTAGACCTACCAGCCTTGCACTATTCAAGATATTCAACTGTGATTTGGTTGATCTTTCACAGTTATTTTATATTCTGCACCTTCAATATTGTGACAAATTTTGTATGATCACATGGCCATCCTTCCGTCTTTACTTACTCCCTTACTCAATAACCTTTAAGATCTATTTCAATGTTTGTCTACCCTGTATCGTGTATCTGGACATTTACATTTATACAGATTGCTAAGAGCTAAGCACTTCAATCTAAAATATTGAACAATATATACCTGAGACCTTTTTGGACATAACAGCAAGCTTCTCTTCCAAATCCTGCTTTTGAGAATTTAGTGCAGATACATGCGCTATCTCCTCCACTAACTGCTGTCTTTCTTGTTGCCTCAACAGGGTCACTTGCTGTAATTACAAAAATGGTATAGCAAATAAATAAAGCTTAAAGAGGTATTCATGACAACTTAAACAAACAATGTGACCTCTAATTGAGATTTTAAATTTGCTAGCTCCTTCTCCATAGCTTGCATACAATCTGGCGGAAAATTCATTGAAGTTAAACCACTTATAGGACCAGTCAATGCTTGCTGCTGTAATGAGTTTAGTTCTGCTCTTAGAGATCCCGCATCCTCTTCAGCCTAATCCCAAAAGGATTCAAACGTATTAAGGCATACTATTCCACTTCAACTCATTAAGTGAAAGAAAATTCTAGCATACCCGATACTGTTCCTCTTCTACTTCCTTCAAACGTTTCTTAATTGTACGAAGCAGAGCTGAAAGATCCTCCTATATTTAAACAACACGGCTCATATGAAAAAGACAGATGGATCACATATAAGGTTAATAACAATAGAATGGTAGTAGAAATGATATGTACTCGTGCAACAACTGCTGCATCCTTTTCCATGGCAACATCCTTGAGCGCTTTTCTTAATGAAGGTATAGTGATTTGCTCCTGCACTTCCAAAGAAAAGAAAGTGAAGCCACCTATCTACTGAAAAGAGGTCTCAATATCTTGCTTAGATTCCTTCTTATTCCTCCTTTCAGCAAAGTGAAGACAAATTCAGAAAGGTTTATCATCTAAGGAAAAGGATCCAAGTGTGCAAAATAACGTATTGTACTGGGAAACCGCAACTTAATATATTGCAGTACTATTATCTTTAATTAAGGTAATTGCAGTGTCATGATCTCATCCATGAATGAACAATAGTGCTAGGATATGAGCAGATAAAGCCCATATTAATAAGGCTATGATATTTGTTTCATATATTACAATGTCTATAAATAATACTCCCTCCATCCCATAAATTTGAAGGTGTTAGACTGGGCACGGAGTAGAATGAAGGATATACTTTTGAAACCTGTAATCTAAAACAAGTCATTAAGAATTGTGTGGCAGTAAATTGTCTCATTAAGGGTAAATAGGAGTGTCACATAAATTGAGACAAAAGGTAGTAGGAACAACGTCCACTACCTAAGTCATACTTTATCAGAGTCCTTGTATTTTATTTTATTTTTGAGAATGAACTTTATCAAAGTCTTTATATTGACTCCTAATACTTGCTGATTGTTAAAAGTTACAATCATTTAAGGGACATTTTCTAGCTGTTACTGTGGCGCAACTGAGATATGGAAATGAGTGGTGTTTGAGCCTTATAAGGGGTTCTTCGATTGGGAAATTGAAGGATGACTACCTTGCTGCAAAAATTGAGTCTGGTATCAGTAGATGCTGAAATGAGGATTCATTGCTATGGACTGGACAGAGCAACGGTGTTTTTTATGTGCAATCCTGCTATATAATTTTGGTAACAGCAGAATTTTTTTCTCTATGGCCTTGGAAAATTTGGGAAGCCAAAATTACTATATGAAGTGGCATGTTTCAGCTGCATATTGGCTCATGATGGATACTTGACAGAGACAAATTAACAGAAAAGAGGTCTGCAGTCATGAAGCAGATGATTCCGAATTGAAGGTAGTAGGAATTCCAGCACTGTGAGGTCGTTGGTTACCTTTGATATCTCTTTTGCAGTATCTTTGGGCTGGAAGATGTTTTTAATAGACGGAACTTCATTTGGAGCCAAACACAACCTTAGAAACTCAAGGATGACGAGTCTAATCTTCTACCCTTCTCCACTAAAAAAGTTAAGACTTAGTTTGATTGGCACAAAGGCTTGTTACTTAGTGCTGGAAGTTTATATGAATGAAGCATATACCATATAAAAAAAAGGGACACTATGGATTTGAATCCCATAAATTGATGACTTTCAAATAACTGATCATATAAATTTTTTCCAGTAAGAACTTATTCTATATGGACCATTTACATGACTGGTTTCCATTGAAGAAACTATAACTAAAATACATCATCTTTTTCCCCAGATAAATAAGTGTAAATATAACATTTGAAAGATGCATTACCAGATCGTTAAGACGTTTTTGCAACATGTTGTTCTCAACTTCTTTTGTCTGAAGCTGAAGAAGAAAATTTTAGAACAAGAGATATTCGTTAGTACATTGACAAAAACGTATTCAAAATGAGGGAGGGAGGAAAGAATTAAATACCTTTGAGGCGAATGCTCTGTTTTCTTCATCTAGCTGTGTGTTTTGTTTTTGCACAACTTTTAATTGAGAAACTAAGGCAGTGATATCATTCTGCAGATGGATGTTTAACTCAAAATAAAACCTAATGGGGGTATACTGCACATTGTGAAAAGGAAATTGAGTTTACCTCTGATAGGCGAGTTGCACTCCGAGATTTTGTAATCCCCAAAACCTCTGGCAAAAAAATAAAATATTTTTGAAGATGAGAAGAATGGAGAAAAAGAAGGATTGTTGATTAAAGTTTTGTTACCAGGTTTGGCAAGATCTGGTCCAGAAGACATCTTGCTTAATCTCTCCGCTGCTCTCCTTTGACGAATTTCTTCCAACTGCATACAAACAAACAAGGTATGGAAAATGTTGTAAATGAGAAACCAAAATTGCGGATCCTAAAATTCATACCGTTCGACGACCAAGGGAGACATGACGAGACTCCATCAATTCCAATGCGAGGAAGGACCTTCTCCGCTGCTGCTTTGCCTAACCCAAAACAAAAAAAAAGTATGAAATTTTGTTATGAAATAATATTAATTTACAAGAACATTAAAGTAGGAAGGAGAAAAGAGACAACTTCTTATTCTTGAATGATAATTTGAGATCCACACATCTGACTTTATAAGTAAGGAAATCAAACTTAGTTCCAATTCGATATTCCATATAATTAGAAATTTACACACTCCAGGATTAGTTTGATTCGTTAAAATCTTATAAGATAAAAATTTTACTAGTGAAAAAAAAATACACATCTAATAATACATATTATAGATGTTTTATTAAAAAAACATACAAAGAAAATTCAATGGGATAAAACTTTATGAGGAAAAAATATATATATCATGTATTAACTCTCCCAATGAGAATATCAATCCAGAGACTTGAAATTCCGTTTTCCAAGTTTGTGCATCATCTTCTTGAAACTTGTAGTTGCTGGAGACTTGACGATAGGTCAACCTAGTATTACTTGAACAAACTTATTGCATGCTGATATCACTATTTTTGGGAGCTCATGAGTGTATAAAAGTTTTGACGAAATATGCTTCTTTGTATATCCTTTATGAATCATGCCATCCTTACTTTAATTTTTTTTAAGCAAATAATATATTGCATTTTAAAAACTCTTCAAGAATTTCAATTCAAGTCATCAAGTTATATAATAATACTTGTCTATGTTTCATGTAGTTGAATCGGTTTAATCTTTATGAGGATTATAACAAATTTTTTAAAAACTTGTATATGTTTTAGATTTTGAATGCATCAGATATTTTCATATCTACTTTGTCAAGTGACAACATTCAATATTTAATGTATGACATCTTCTAGTACCTAGATTGCAAGTCAAATAAGTTTTATGCCTATCGAGATGCGTCATTCCACTTTTCACTTGATAATTATTTCTACATCAACATGCTTTAATAGTCGTACTATTTATATGAACATAATTTTTTACAATATTGTGCGCTATTGTATCAAAGATATCCTCAACGATATATCATTTTGTATCGATTTACAAGGGAAAATTACATAAATATACTATAATAAATAAATATTCACCATTTATAGCAATAATATTTTTTTCACTTGATCACTTTTAATTCAATTATAATACCAGTTTAATACATATTACAAAGAACAATTTATTATTCACATTTAATACAAAATTTAATGATGAATAATATATTTATCACACATTTTAATACACTTATAATACAATGTGACAATTTTTTACCAGACAAACATGATATATTTAAAAAAAAACAATTTAAATCCATATATATTGCATACATAATTCACTTTTAATACATATTATAGATTTAACACAACATTGCTATAAATGGTAATAAACAAAAAGTATCGCTAAAATCAGTAATTATTTTTTATAATGTATCAATTTGTGTAATTTTTTCGATTTACAATATGACATAATTTATTGAAATCTCATCACTTCATTATTTTTAGGTACGTACCCCTCTTATGAGGTTTCATGAGATGTTATGTCATAAGCTCTTCAAGAGTACATTGTCTTCTTTTTACGATCATTTTGATTCGTTGATCCCCCTTTTTTCAAGGATTGTTTTATTTAGAATCAATTAGTCTATCATGCTTCATGCATGTCATAAACTATATTGTCTAGAAACGTTGAATAGGATCATTTACAACTCATGTGTTGCTTCTTAGATCCCCCTTTATGTTAGACAAACTAACATATATCTCAATTTATTTTGGAGAATCCATCTTTGTGCATCATAAGTGTATTTAATAATCATATATTGCACATCAAAATTATCACATGAAAAAGAATTGGTTCATGACCATAAACCAATTAAGAAAAAAAATTGAACATAATTTATTGGTCTGATGCATACAATTACTTTATGCAATAACATATTTCAGATCAACACATGAAACTTCATTTTCATAAGCAATGATTTCACTATCTAAGACATTTAATGTCACATCACATATATATTTATCAATATTATCAAGATGAATCATCTTGATTTCATATTCTGAAAGTTGCTTTTAATTCAATTATCTTGCACAAATAATTTTGTAAATGTCAAACTGCAAGTTGACAACAAATGCACATGTGATTATCTTATATATGCATCTCTTTATCATATCACATAATAGATGACTGAACTCATATTTACCTTTTATACATTTTTGAATTTAGGAATTTAGTTCCAACATTAGTTGATCCAATCAACTTATTATGAGGATAAGCAACATAAAGAATTCATAAAGAATCGTCTAGTTCTTCAATATATGTCTATTACTCAGTATGCACATCTTTGGGATGACCAAATTATTCATGCCAACTAATAAAATTATTAGTACTTGTAAACTCCAAGTTTACTATATCATGTGTATTTTGCTTTAGTAAATTTCTAATTTACTATTATATGAGTAAATTTTAATTTTTTTACTCCCATAGTAATTACAGATTTATTTCTTCTCCGTTATTCTATTCCTTCTAGAGGTGAGTCGTGATTCCATCACTGAACGAACTAAATTGATTATCAAAAAATTGTGCAGCAATCATGTTATTTGTTTTGATATTTTTTCAAACATCAAGTTGCTAGATAACAATATGCATACTGAGACCATCTAGAAGAAACATCTACTAGGATCATTAAGCATCTAAACAATCCACTAGGTGGATTAGTAGGTCCACATGTATCCTTATGTATGCGTTCCTAAATGCAAGGGACTCAATCTCAATTTTGTTATGATGGTCTCACAATCAGCTTGTCTTTCTAACAATCATACAAGAAAATTCACCATTTACAAATTTTTTTAGGTTCTTCAATGAACGTCCGTGTTAATTTTTCATAATTTGTCTAATCATTATAAACTAATGATGTCACAGATAATCATGTAAAATTAAGAAAGTTATGGAATTAGTGTAGAATGTGCCTCAGTTGCACTAATTATTATCTAATAGAACTGAAAAGATATAGTATGAAATTTTTCATTAGCATATGTCCGCCTAGAGGCATTCTTGGTGATACCACATTTGCATTCAAAGGTCGCGATCTTTTTCACGCCTAGCATGGTGGATTACACCTCATTCACTTTAGAATAGATCTATATTTTTAGCATTTATCAAAAGTTTTCATTCTTAATGAATGACACAAAAACATGTGAGCATATCAAATTATGAATGTTTTGGTACTTCATTCCATATTCATGTGCATTATTCAATTACTTGTCTTTTTTCAGACATTATATGCAAACCTGTCACATTCACTTTAGGGAAAGAATTTGCTTCAATGAGATATATTTTATGACTATTTTTTATCAAAAACTTATTATTTTGTCTTAGTCATCATTATATCATATAATATGGTTCATTGTGACTCAAATTTAATGTCTTATATATATATATATATATATATATATATATATATATATAATGTCTTATGTCATAAATCGATTGGACATGAATCCAACATCTTTTATCACTGTGCACCAAAAGTCTAGATGTCTTAACCTCTTGGTGCGATTGGACTTGAATTTATTGTCTTACCCTTTTGAAGTGATTGAATGTGAATACATCATCTTATTCTCAATTAAGACTCACTTTAAAGCCTTTAATAATATCACTCACTTTAAAGCCTTTAATAATATTATTCCTATAACACTCCAAAAGTCTAAGACCTAATCTAGAGACTTACATGAGTGTCTAAGGGTTGTAACACTATTTTAAAGTCAAAATAATGTTTATGAGTCATTTAGAAAGTTTTGGAGTCAAGACGTCAAGAAACGTCTATGACGTCCGAAGATTAGTCAAAGAGGTGCTAGTGTGCCTTAGCCTATTTTACAAGGTTTTAAGAGCCGAACTTTGGTCAAATTTGGTATAAAGGTGTCAAACACGTATAAAAAATGTGTTTAGGGTCGAAACGTTTGGGTATGACTCCCCAAGGACCACCCAGAGGGTCCTTGAGGAGGACCCTTCCAATCATTCCATTTTGGCAAAAAGCTGTCAAAATGAAGTGGCTACCTACACTTGCCATCGACTGAGCGTCGATGCCTCTGTCGATGGACACTTAGTCAATTTCCAGAAAGTTCCAAATGCATACTCTCTTATCCAAACCACGGATGTGCAGGACGGAAAGGAACAATGCCCATTGACTGACCTACGACCCTAGGTCGGAGTCTCATAGGTCAGGCCTACAACTTTTCTGTGATATTTTAATTGGTTTATTTAATTAAGTTATTTAGTTAGGGATATAATTAAGGGTGAAGGGTTGGTTAATTAGATTTGTTAAGCAACTATATAAACCCCCCTAAGCCTAAACCCCACTTAACACATCACTTTTCCCAAACCCAAATTGTTCTTCCTTCTCTCTACTTTCTCTCTTCCAAAGAAACTCCATAGAACACCAACGTCTAAGGGTTCTAGGGAAGCAAGAAGGTCTTTTTAACCATCAAGATACAAAGAATATCAAGGTATGGGATCCTTTCACCTTTGGCATTCCTTTCCCCAAAGGGTTCTCCCAAAATTGGTTTCAAAAGATGATTTCATATGTGTTTCTTTCTAATCCGAATTTGATCCTCTAAATTGAATTGTTTATGGTTTATTTTGGTTACTATGATTAGATTATGATGTTTTATTTTTCAATTATGATAGTTCTTGACGAATTAACATAGTATGTGGAATATATCATAAAAATAGACCCAAATTCCCTAACCCTATGTTATGAACTCATGTTGAATTGATTAGTGTTGACACAATTGAGTTAGTTCTTGTGTTAGCTAATATGGAATGATGTTATTACACCTATTGGTGGATGAAATTGGATTATTGGAGGGAAGGACCAATGATGATGGCTTGTTAAAGGAGAATTCATAAGACTTTATGATCTTGAACCTTTATTTCAATTGTGATGGATTGTACTTGGTGAAAACGTTCAATTGAAGCATGTCTTATGATTATATTGTCGTTATGATGATGTAATTTCAATGTCTTGATTATGTGATGTGGGATTGTGTTAAGATGTAATGATATAAGATTGGTTATGAATTGCATATGTGCCTTATATGATATGATGATGATAATATGTT